AAAATGCTTCTATAATACCAGTCTGTAGGCAAGCCTGCAGGGCATTTTTTTGGGGGGTAGGAATGGGAACCAGGGTTTCTCTTTGGAGCCCTGGCCATCCTGGAACTCACTCTGTAGACTGGGCTGGCCTTGAACTCAGAGATACACCTGCCTCCATGACCCGAATGCTGAGATTAAACGTATGCACCACCATCACCTGGCTGCATGCCACTACTGCCTGGCTGGCATTTTAATTAGTGATTATTGGGGAGAGCCCAGCCTTTTGTGGGTGGTGCCATCCCTGGGTTGGTGGTCCTGGGTTCTATAAGAAAGCAGGCTGAAGCCAGGCATGGTGGCGCACGCCTTTAATCCCAGCACTCGGGAGGCAGAGGCAGGCAGATCTCTGTCAGTTCCAGGCCAGCCTGGTCTACAAAGCGAGTTCCAGGACAACCAGGGCTGTTACACAGAGAAACACTGTCTTGAAAAACCTAAAAAAAAGCAAGCAGGCTGAGCAAGCCAGTAAGCAGCACTCCTCCGTGACCTCTCCATCAGCTCCTGCCTCCAGGTTCCTGCCCCGACTTTGATGATGAATTGGGAGATGGAATCATAAGCCGAGTAAACCCTTCCTCCTCAGCTTGCTTTTGGTCATGGTGTTTCATCACAGCAAGAGTAACCCTAACAAAGCCAAGAGGATAACAGCAACCTCATATGATCATTGTGATCCTGGTCAAAGTGAAGGACATACAAACGAAGCCCCTCATGCATTCTATGTATAAAACAGCACTCAGTAAATTAGGGTGATGAGCATGATTTTTTTTTTTTTTTTTGGACACAAGGCCTTGTAGTCCAGGCTTGCCCTGAACTCAAGCATCCCTCCCACCCCCATCTTCTGAGTGCTAAGATTACAGGTGTGAGTCTCTACACCAGGCTTGATAACACTCATTGAAATTACTATGTGCCAGAGCATAAATGACCTCATTTGACCTTCTCTCCGGCTCCAGGAGGCAGCGCTATCATCATCTCTATTTTACCACCAAGAAAACTGATGTACGGAGAGGCACAACAATTTGCCCAGGGTCACTCCACCATTGGGTGGTGGAGAACATGAGGGGACCCAGATAGTCTTATTCCAGAGTCAACGCCTTGAACAACCTTCAAGTCAACATGTACAGAGTTAACCTCCTTCCCTCTAATGTATCGTATCCAGTATGTGCTCATCTTGGAGAATCGTATCTCTAAGACACCCTTAGAGCTGAACAAGCCTCGGAGTGATGGCCTAGTGACCACAATCAGACACTGCCGGTGAGTAATGACCTTTCTCTGGGCAACTATGGGACTTTTCACCCAGAAAAATCCGAGGCCAACTAAGCCATCTAAAAAAATTTTAGGGTCCAGTTGCAATAGCTGCCACGACTGTTTCCACGCAGCTGGTCATATACACCGACAGTTCACTACTGTATGATGCAGATTCCAAGGAAAGCTAATAAGCAGAGGAAACCAGTGACCACTTAGCTCTATAACTGGCACTCAAGGAGTGCAGAGCCAAGTGGATAAATACAGTTGTTGACTGGGGAGGTATAAGTCACAGCAGAACACAGGGTTCACTTGCCCTATAGCCTAAGCTTCAGAGGTACCTTCTCAGTTATATGGTCCAGGTAGCATATTTAAATAAAATATTTATTTAGAACATTTTATATGACTGTTGTGCATTGCCCTCCATTTTTGCTTGTTTATTTTTCCATTATATGCTTTAAGTACTGCATACTGGAATCCATCAGAAAATCTGGTATGGGACCTTGGATCAGGCTGGATTTTCTGCAAGTCACCTTTCTTTGGTGTCCTTATTCAAAGGTGGAATAATAATACATGCTTTGTGATGAACTACAACATGACAGGAGTTTTAAGAGAGACCTAGACATGACAGAATTAGAAAGAGGGTAGAATGCTATAATTTTATATCCCATGTATGCCATTATTCATAGGGCCATGCAAGGCTACTGATTGGGTAAAAACTAGAACCCTATACTTTTGGGAGCCCAGGGTAATGCTCAACTATTCATGATCTACACCTATTATCTATGTGAGGAAAGGTTTATAAGCACCAAGAGATAGAGAAAATGGCTAGAAACACCACCAACCAAACGAGGCCTGATGCCAAGAAACGTCTATGCCCAGAGTGAGCAGGCTACCAGGATGCCAGATCACACACAGAGAAATGTCTGTTTGGAGTTCCATTAAAAATGGAGCTGAGGCCCAATGGATGGCTCAGCAGGTAAGAGCACTTGCTGTGCTAACCTGGTGACCGGAGTCCAGGTCCCAGACTGTACTTGGGGAGGAGAGAAGAAGTTGTCTTCTAACCTCCACGTGGACGCCTGAACTTATACACACTTACCTGTGCGCGTGCACGCACACAGTAAAACACAAAGTTGACCCACAACTCTTAAAAGACCAAAACTCTTAAAAAACTCTAACAGTCTCAATCATACTTGGTTACTGAGCCTTCTATTGAAAACAAACCTCACTATGGGAAAACAGATTTTCAACTAGAAATCAGCCTGGTTCATCAGCAGTATCAGCCTCCCTTTCAGTGTTTAGGTAACAACACCCAGCAGTCCGAGAGTGAGCACTCCCTCCCAACATAGGAAGTGATCAAAGTTTTCATGAACATGAAAATGGAGATAAACTGAGCAAAGTCGTGCCAATGATCAGAAGAAATAAACCGCTCATGCCATGACATTTTTCTACGAAAATCCAGAGCTATTTATCAAGCTCCTCACATTTCACAGTGATGATTAGAGCTGAAGGATCTAGTTAGCCATAGGCATAAAAATTAAACATTTGATGCCGGGCAGCGGTGGAGCACGCCTTTAATCCTAGCACTCAGGAGGCAGAGGTAGGTGGACCTCTGTGAGTTTGAGGCCAGCCTGGTCTACAGAGTGAGAGATTCAGGATAGGCACCAAAACTACACAGAGAAACCCTGTCTTGAAAAACAAAACACAACAAAACAAAAAGTTAAACATTTGTGCTGGGTGGTGGTAGCTCATGCCTTAAATCCCATAAACATTTGTGCTGGGTGGTGGTGACTCACACCTTAAATCCCAGCACTAAGGAAGCAAAGGCAGGTGGATCTTTGTGAGTTCAAGGCCAGCCTGGTCTACAGAGCTAGTTCCAGGATAGCCAGGGCTACACAGAGAAACCCTGTCTCAAAAAACAAACAAACAAAAACAAGCAGTTTTTTATTAGTCGACACAAAATATCAGACATGACTATCATCACCTATATAGAATATTTTTTTTAGTTTAAAATAGATCTTTTAAAGAAAAAATTTAAATAGGTATCATTTTTACTTTCACTGGAAGCTGCCGCTGAAATAAAAAAGAACAAGCATTTAAATTAAATCCTGAAGAGAAATTTTATTATTTGCTTTTAAGAGAAGTGCTTGCATCATTTTTACTCAGGTACATAGCATCTGGTGAACAGCAAAGCCTGCCCTCCCCCCATCCCCCCAGTTTTCTGTTAAGTGGCCATCACCTTGCTGGTGACTGAGTGCGAGAAGGAACTGGCTGATGCCATGCTGCACACACGGTCCTCCCTAGAGGGGACTCAGGAGGAACTGCCATCACACACTTGTGCCAGGCATAGGTGCCCAGCCACAGCACAACTGAAGGTCAACGAGTCCTTATCAACCCAAGAAGGCCTTCAGATAGACCGGTTTCCTTTTATTACTGTCCTTTTTACAAAGTAAAAACTATCTCTTGAAAAAGAAACTTTCATAGGACCCTAACAATCAATATCTACTTTATAAACAGTTATATAATCACATTTTTTTAAAAGACAGTAACTGAATGCGGTTTTTTTTTTTTAGACATTTACAAATACTGGCGACACCTACCGGCAGAAAATATATTTCAGTCCACAGCTTGCAAAAAGTCTGGTCTACAGAAGCTGCCTTTTGTGCTGACAGAAAAGAGAAAACTTCCCCCGAAACCCACTTAGGTTTCTTTTCCCTAACTTTGCCTATCCCTATTATTAGGAAGTGATCTAAACCTGACCGATGAAGTTGGAGGCACCTATCTCTGCCTTAAGTTCTGGAAAGTGTATTTTTATTATGGCAAAATTAATTATAACAATAAAACTCAATGGTGATACCTGAAAAATATTTACCAATTATTCCCCAGAAGCATTCACCTCCCATCCTTGCTTTTTACACACCCACATCCTCACAAAGGGAGAGCAAAGCATATTTTATTTTGTGGATCCAACTAGTAATGAAGAAACTTAGCGTAACAAAGTTCATGAAAGGTTACAGCAGATCTCTACAGACTATGACTAACAAGGAATGAGTAAGCAGGCAGTTCAGTTAAGCCTTTACCAAAATACCCCCAAACACAGGACGAGATAGAAAAAAAACCTGTCAGAATTCACAGCTATCTCCACCACTGTTTTCGGTGGCCCACTTTAATTTATTAACCGAATTGGTTATTCTGTTTCTCCTCCCAGGAGTTTGAGGAGCCACCAGCCCCACTGCTACTGCAAACTCATATCCATTCCAAGCCTGAACAACCTGAACCCCACGAAGGTGCCATCCTGTCCAAACAAATGAGAACCCACCACACTTCCACAGCTGCTGAGACTAGAAACTCTAAAAATACTCAACTGAACTATGGAAAGGAGAGAGATTTAGCCTGTACTCGGCATACACAAACGGGAATATAACTGGAGCCTATTGGAGTTCTGTTGGGGGTGGGGGAGGCGATCTGGTAGGAGGAGATGAATCTCTGATGCTGTGCCCCCTCCCCACCTATATGCGATCAGTGAGTCAGGTGCACACACTGAGCAGACGGATGTGTGGTGTGGAGGTGGAACTCAAGAGTGCCGTGACAAGCCACACATACATCTGCCTCCAGCTCCACAGCTCACCCTGGTCTTAGTTCTCAGAGTGAGACCAGAGTGGAAAACTCTCTCTGTCTCTCTCTCTGTCTCTGTCTCTGTCTCTGTCTCTCTCTCTCTCTCACACACACACACACACACACACACACACCCCACGATGAGCTGGTCCTATGGACTCCAGCACAGGAAAGCTGGGGTCTAATAAAGCAACTGCCTTCTCCAAACCTCTGAAAAAATAATGAGGATCGCCCTCTCCTCCAGCTGAACCCAACCAACTTCAAAGGGCAGTCAGCGATTTTCCAGAGACAGGACACATGGGGGCGGGGGGAGGCCCAAGCAAACCAAACTGAGAGGACTCCCTCAATTACCTAAGGGCATAACGAAGTTCCCAGAAAGGGAACTGCTTCCAGTATTTCAAGGCAGCTTCCCATTCACCAGAGTACAACTCATTTCAGCAGTCACGAAGGAGACCCTCAATTACTCCATTTAGCTCAGACCAAAATGAACGACACCCTCCCCAGCCTCCTTTATTGGTTAAGTGCCATTAAGTAAAAGTGCCCTGTCCAGCCTTTGCTCTCAAACAGCCGCAAAACCAAGCGTGTCCGGTTGGTCGTCTGAACCGATCCCCAAGAACTTAAGGCTTTCCCAACCCCGGCCGCGGAGGGGTAGACATTGCTTTACTGACTGGCTCTTTCTTGACACCTGGGCCTTCCTGACAGGGCAGCGGGTAGGTGTCTTTGCCGGCTCTAGACAGAGACGGGGGTTCTGTCTGAGAGGGCTGTCTGACGCTCCGGCAGCAGAGTGGCAGCGGCGAGGAGCTGCAGTTCCCGGGCGCAGGGAGAGGGCCAGGGAGAGGGGAGCCACAGAGAAGACGCGAGAGGGTATAAACACTTTAAGTGGCGATCCCCGAGAAAGGCGGCACCACGCGGGGGAGATGGCAAGAGAGCGAGCGGTACACAGGGTAAGGCGGCGGCGGGGCCGGGAGGTGCAGGTGGTGGAGGGCGCGTCCTACCTCGTCCTTGGCCGCCCCGCTGCCCAGGGGTGCCTCCAAGCTGCAGTTCGCCCTCTTGACAGTGAGGTAGAAGGGGTAATCTTTGGCCACCATGGCGGCTGCCGGGCCTGCCCTTTGGGATGTCACCGCTGACCCCAGGCGACAACAAAAATCCCGGGTGAAAGAGGACCCAAGCTCCACGGTGCCGGCGGCGGCGGCGGCGGCGGCGACGCGGACACCTTCAGCTGCTTTCTAGCCTGGTGTGCGGGACGCTGGGGATCCAGCGGGAGGGGCGGGGCCGCTTCAGGACACGCCCACGGAGGGCGGGGGAGTAGGCGGGGCTAGAGAGGCCCACCCCGCCCTCCTAGGAGCGTCAGGTGAGAACTTGCAGACACCTCCCGTGGCTGGGGGCGGTTTTGCCAGCTTTGGAGACCTCAGGGAACAAGCACCGAGCCGCCATATCGGAGATAATAGCTCCCCTCCTGGAAGAACAGCCGGTTGCAAGGTGGCCGGGGCCCGGGGACTGCACATTTTTCTTCTTCCTTTTTTTTTTTTTTTTTTGGACAGGGTCTCTCGACATAGCCCTAGCTGTTCTAGACACTTTTATTTTAATGACCGTTATTGGGGTAAAAACAGCCCCAACAGTAAAATGCACCCATTTTAAGTGTGCCGTTCACTGACTTCTGAATAATTTAAAAGCACTGTGTAACCAACCTTCACACCCAAAGAGACAAATCCTTTCCACCACGCACGAAAGTCCCCTCCAGCCGTTCGCCCTACACCCACGCTGGACTGATTGGGTCTGTTTCCAGCTATAGCGAAGACCACGCCTTTGAGGATCTTTTCTGGGGAAGTGTTGATGTTGTAAATGCCCAAAAAGCAATTGCAAAGTCAATGCTGCAGCCTTGCCCACACCAGTAAAAAAAACAAACAAAACTAGAAACAATGGTAACATTCTCAGTAGAGCGTGCTTGAGTAAACTTTCCTCACTATAGACTACTACCCCACAGTGATCAGAATGGAGATGGGTCTGTGGGTGTGGAACTGAAAGATCTTTATATTGGCCTCAGTTTGAGAATAATTGCAAAGGGCTGGGAATGCAGAGCTTTAGTCGAACAGTTAGCAAGGGTGAGGCCCTGAGTTCAATTCCCAGCATCTAAAATATAACAATGTGGGACAAAACAGTACAATACCATTGGTGTTAAAAGTATATCTACAAAAGAGTACTTTCTTTTTCCTATATTTTCTATAAAGACGTACTTGTAGATCAACAACATTGAATGTCTGGAAGGATCTGCAGCAAGCTTACACTCTCCCTGATGCCAGAGGAGAAACACCTAGGATTAAAAAGTGGACAAAGGGACTTGAAAGTTACAGCTAATGTTTTTCAGTTTCTTACAAGAAAAATATATTCACCTGTCACTCGAAAAAGAGATTAATTTTCTTAATGTTATCACTTCCTCAAAGTACAAATTACATTTCTTGTGAACTTCACTGAATCTTTCCATACTCATGTGAAAGGCATGGATACATCAGGTACTGGGAGGTGCTGACTCTTGCTTTTGCTTCTTGGATGAGGGAGTCATTGTGATAGAGAAATTGACTCCATTTCAGTATTCTCTGTTTCCAGATGAGGTCAGAACCCACCGGTTCCTCTTTCCCTAGCAGGAAACTGCTTAACATGTGAATATTTCATCTCAGGTACCAAATCCACACCCCAGCAACAAACCCACCCATCATCTTGCCTGATTAGGGCAGAGAGACTGACTACCTTTGGCGGCAGGAAAAATCATATGTTGTAAACAAGAATCCTAAATGAATGGGTTCCAATTGAGACTGGAGAAAGCACCTGTGGTTTTTTTTCCCCAAGTATACACCCTGAAGCAAAAGGAAGAAAGCCACAGCAAAAGAGATATCAAGTGGACAGGAGCATGTTAGAATCGCTGATTTTTCCCTGTGGGTATTCCTGCTCAATCTTTTCAGCCTGAGCTACACTGAAGGTGAGTCCTCATGAACACATTCACACTCCCTACAAGCCTGGCCAAGTGTGGGGGAGGGGTGAAGGGAACCCCATCTCCAAGGGCAGCCAACCAAACCAGGCCTGGGGTCAGTGACATGTCCCAGAGCCAAAGCACCCTGGGCCTCTCCTTTTCCTTTTGCTGCTCTTCCAGGGCTCACTGACCATCTCAGCACAGGACCCTGGGCATCCACAGCTCGTTTGGGAATGAGCTTTGATTCCTAGTGAAGTTTTTTGAGCCTTGTTCTCCAGTTGGAAAACATACTTATAGCACTTGATGGGGGGTTATCCCAACAAATTCCCACAGCCCTGGTATTGGGTGCTTTCTTCCATGTTCTTAGGACCAACCAGGCAGCGTAACACCAAAAACATAGGGCAATAATAAATAAACCCTTAGAAATGGGGGCAGGAGGGCTGCGGAGATGGCTCAGCAGTTAAAAGCACCTGCTTCTCTTTAGGAGGATCCAAGTTCAATTCCCAGCACCCACATCAGGTAGCTCACAACCACCCATAACTCCAGAGGATCTGAGAGCTTCTTCTGGCCTCCACTGACAACCACACACATGAGAACACACACACAATGGGGGAGAGAAACTGAACCCCAAATTTAATTATTGTAAAACAAATATATCACATATAATAAGAAGCCTACCATATACATTTCATCTTCTTAAGATTTTTTTTTTTTTTTGCTTTTCTTAAAAAAATACTAGGAACCATAAAATCAGTGAATAACATACATGCAGCAAACATGTTTTTTACTATTCCTCTAGGGATGGAAAGAAGGACAGAGGGAGAAAGAGAGGATTGCTAATAGCCCGTAACTACTTTACTGCAAAATGGGCTAAGCTCCAAAATGAGTGTGACGGTGATGATGGAAATCTCCAGTGTCCTTGAGTTCTGATTCTTCCAAGTTACCTCCAAATAGGATTCTCATCTTTAAATTCTTAAAGATACATACATCTTAAAGATACATATGTACACACACACACACACACATTACAATACAGCCCATACACTAGGCCAGCAATTTGGGGTAGGATATACAAGCTTTGTATGTGGTCCATGAGACATTCAAACAATTTTTAAGAGTGTTTTTTGCCCTGTGCAATTTCTGCCTTGTTTCCAGGTTTCAGGCCTCTCCCTCTGCTCCAGGATTTGGGCAGACTGTCTGGGACTCTAAGTAGGGGTGTGAGTGACCAAAGACTGTTAGCCAACAGGCTGCCTTATGAGAGGAATCCCAAGCACAGAGCCAGGCTAGCATCTGAGTTCGAGGGAGCTAGACCAACCCAGCAAGGCCTCCCAGCAGAGCAGCAGCGGTGGTATGCTGCTCCCCCAACCCTCCCCTGCCATCCGTGTGTGTGTGTGTGTGTGTGTGTGTGTGTGTGTGTGTGTGTGTGTGTGTGTGTGTGTGTGTGTTTACAGCTTAGGAACAACACTGCCTAACAGCAGCTTCCCTAAAAGCAACAGCACAAAACACCTTTCAAAGCTCTCCTTCAGCACAACCAGTTATAATCCCATAAAATGCTTCACAGCTGGGCAGTGTTTGTCTGGAGCCAGGAGCCTGGAATCAAGAAGCCTGTTCTGCACTTCCAGGAACGACGCCAAGCCCAAAGCTGTGCTCTCGCTTGTGCGGAGAGGTTGGGACTCCGCAGCTATGCACGATACTGGCGATTAGCCCCTTTTAACCTAGCACATGATCAGGTGTGGTTAGGAACCCACTTACCCACTACTCAGAACAGACCCATCATGGGGCTAAAACCTCAGAGGCTAGAGTGGCTGTGACCATCTCAGTCAACAGGACCTTGCTCTATCCTATCAGCACTGCCCTGAATATCAGGGTTGGATTTCTTTCTTTTTTTTTTTTTCTCTTAAAGGTTCACTCATGGATAAGAGTGATTCATTCATTCATCAAATAGGCACTGAGTGCTTCCTTGATTAGCTGCTTCTCCTCTGGTTTTCTCCCCATTCTTAAGCTTCCCTGCTAGGCAGGTATTTAATCAATGAATATGGTCCAATTTCAGACATGGCCTTTCAGATGAAACCTCGGTGGCAAGTTATGCATCAAGGAAGAAGCCGGTCTGCCAAGGCTCAGCCTCCCACCATGCAAACCTATGTGGCTTCCCTGGCACCTGTAGCCATATCTACTGGTTAACCAGACAGAGTCATGCACGTACATGTCGGGCACTCACATGTTCCAACATCTCTCCCCTCCCCTTTCTTTTGGGCGATGGTCCCAGTTAATGATCAAGATCAAGCTCCCTCTCCTTTCTTCAACGTCAGTCTTTGTGGGAGGAATGAGGAGGAGAAAGCAGGGAACTCTGTGGGATCTGCTGCCCCACAAACAGCAACGGCACACACAGTTGCATCTGAAGTCACACACAATGGTACTTCCTCCTGCCCGGGGACGAGCCTGCTGGCCCCAAGGCAGATTGGTGAAAAGCCAACCCTGGATACTCTACAGCTGGAAGATTTAATTCTTGCATTGTCTAAAATGTTTTGTTTTCAGGAACAAGTCTGAAAACTGTCAATTAATTTAAAACAACAACAACAACAACCAATAAACAAAACCCAAAACCTGTTGCTGGTTGTTTTATTTTATTCTTTGGCTCTTTAGGGGGCCTGCCACCCAGCTCCCAAATAAACACACACAGAGACTTTTTCTTACTGATGAATGCCCAGCCTTAGCTTGGTTTGTTTCTTGCCAGCTTTTCTTAAATTATCCCGTCTACCTTTTGCCTCTGGGCTTTTACCTTTCTCTATTCTGTATCTCTTTACTTTCCTTTTTACTCCACGGCTTGCTGTGTGGCTGTGTGGCTGTGGGTCTGTATAGCTGGCCCTTGGTGTCCTCTCCTTCTCCTTTTCTCAATCCTTGATCCTCCTCCCAGATTTCTCCTTCTATTTATTCTCTCTGCCTGCCAGCACCACCTGTCCTTTCTCCTGCCTCGCTATTGGCCATTCAGCTCTTTATTAGACCATCAAGTGTTTTAGACAGCCACAGTAACACAGCTTCACAGAATTAAACAAATACAACGGATACAGCACATCTTTGTATCATTAAACAAATGTTCCACAGCATAAACAAACATAACACATCTTAAACTAATATTCCACAACAAGCCAGGTGGTGGGGGTGCACATCTTTATTAATCCCAGTACTTAGGAAGCAGAGGCAGGTGGATCTCTGTGAGTCTGAGGCCAGTTTGGTTTACAGAGTGAGTTCCAGGACAGCTGATCACACAGAGAAACAAAACCCTGACAGAAAAAGGGGGGGGGGGGGCGGGGGGAATATCCTACTAAAGTAGACAATGTGATCCCTTGTAAGACACAACGTGTGAGGGCAGGGGCTGGGGAGGTGGCTGAGTAATTAAAGCGCCTGCCACACAAACACAAGAATCGAATTCAGATCCTCAGCATCCACAGAAAAGCCCCAGTGACCACAGTAACCACCTGTAATCCCAGTGTTTAGGCAGAGAGAGGGGATGCCAGGACGAGCTGGTGAACTCTTGGTTCAAATGACAGAACCTGCTTCAGGAAATAAAGTGAAGACACCAACCTCTGGCCTCCACATACATATGTGCCCACATATATGTACATACATACCAGACACACATATACACGTGCAAAAAAAAAGTGAAGGCAAATGTGAATAAAGACACCCAACTGTGCTCATGTCATTGGGTCTGCACTGGACACTTGACATCTAGGCAGTGAGGGGCAGTATTTCCTTACACTGCTTGAAGTGAAATTGAATGAAAAGCCCACTAAACCCATATCCTAGGCCCCATTTAGGGTCCACTGAACCGGAATGTTTGGCGGGGAGCTTAGAAGTTTGTATTTTTGATCAACACCGTCAAAGAGCATGTTTGAGTGATACTGTGTTACAAATCAGAACAGTGAACTGGCTCCCCACTGCTCCCCACCCCTCCTGCCATCAGCAGTGACCACAGATCTTTGGTCACAAGTATGTGGGGATGTTCAGCCCAATGTTATAGCAACAAAACCAAGAACGGGCAGAGGAAACTATTTATTGGTTCATGCAAACTATTGTGCACTGGGATCTCGAGTGTGCAGCGCAATGTGCTGTCTACATGTGGGTGCATAAGGGATACAGTGAAAAATGTGCAAGTCCACACTTCAGCTCAGCTCCCAGCAAAGCCACCCACCAGGAGACATGTTCTGACACTTGGGATTGGATTTACAATCTCGTTTCCAGGGCTCCAAATGAAAACACACTTATCTTCATAGCTGAGAGGCACAACTGCATTTAAGTTTTAAAAAAATTAGCTGTAGAGAATGAAAGGAGGGCTGTTGGCTTGAGATGTTTACCTGCAAAAAGGCCTGGGGCCGGGGTGTGTGTGTGTGTGTGTGTTGGGGGGGGGTGTTCTGTAGAAGACCTTAATTACAGAACTAGTCCAACCAGAAGGAACAGGTTCAGGGACTCTTGGCAAGTATGTGTCTCATCTGGTGGGAGCAGACATTGGCTGGTGTGCTGCAGAGAGCTGTAATGGGCCCAGAAGCTGACCTGTCCCAGGTACTTTGGGCACAGTGAGAGCTTTGTAGGGAGTTGGAGGGGGTGGGTTAACGGAACACTTTGGCCAAGCGGGAGCTGAGTGAAGAGAGCTTCTGGTTTTTATTATTTTATTGTACTTTTGTAACAGGGGCTCAGAAAGCCAGGGCTGCCTTAAAACTCATCGTGCAGTTGAAGGTGACCTTGAACTCATCATGTAGTTGAAGGTGACCTTGAACTCTTGCTTCTCCCACCTCTACCTCCTAAATTCAGGGATTACAAACCTACGCCACCACATCTAGTTTATGCTGTGCTGGGCAATGAACCCAGGGCTTCCTGCCTGATAGGCAAGCCCTCTACCAGCTGAGCTGCCTCCCCAGGCTGAGAGTTCCTGACTTATTTGATTTTTATTTTCCCAAAGCTCACATCCAAGCCCAAGCTCAGCAAGCATGGCTCCCATGTGTCCACCGTCCTGATCAAACTAAGAGTCTTGACAACAAAAGGGTGGGCAGAAAGGCGCCAGCCGCGGCTTAGTCCTCGCTGATGGCACTGTCATCTGCTTCTTCCACCTTGGTGTCATCACTACAACACTCCTGGTTTTGCTGGTTAACTCTCAATCAAGCCCATCTGTGGCCCCCTCACCCCCACCCTCCCCCCCCCCCCTCGCCGCCAGGCTAGGGTAGCCCTCACTTTGTCTCCTTGAAGCACCGAGTACCTCTTTCACCCCAATATTCCTCTATCAACAGATCCTTCATCTCCACTGTTTGACCGCAGTCAGGTGTAGGTGTGGGGGTGTGGGAGGGGTCATGGATTGTACCCACATTGCTAGTCAAATCAGTTCCGGTTCCTCCTACCATACTGGCACATATCAAACAATGAAATGAAAATTAAATTCAAATAGGACTGGTCAGAGATGTCATGAAAAAAAAAAAAGGTAGATCTAGAGGACTCCCCCCCCCCCCCCCCCCCCGCCAAGTAATGGCGTGTAGTTTCTTTGAAAAATTGTTGTTTTTAATTATGTGTACGTATGTACGTGTATCCGTGTGTTGTGGGTATATGCACATGAGTGTGAGTGAATGACCATGCCAGAGGTATTGTAAAGCCCCTGAAGTGGGTGCTGGAAGAGCAGTACAAGTTCTTAACTGCTGAGTCATCTCTCCAGCCTCTAATTTCTTTTTAAAATAATTTTTTTATGGCCAGGCATGGTGGCATGTGCTTTTAATATCAGCATTCAGGAGTCAGGGGCTGGTGGAACTCAGTGAGTTTGAGGTTAGCCTGGTCTACACATAGTAAATTCTAGGCCAGCCACAGGTATGTAGTGAGACGCTATCTTACATTTTAAAAATTTACTCTTTGAGAATTTCATACATGCATATAATAAATTTTGATCATATTCACCACTTCTCCAACTCCTCCTGGATTTCCCTTACCTCATGCCCCCCTTCATGACTTTTTATTGGCATTTTTTTATTTATTGAGAATGTAATACGTGCAAATAATAATTTTGATCATATCTCCCCTTCTCTAACTCCTTCTAGATCCCACTTCATGCCCCACCCCCAACTTCATATACTCTCTCTCTTTTTCAAATAACCCAGAGTCCAGTTAATGCTGCCCATACACACATGGGTGGGGGACATCCACCTAGGCACAGTCGGACTACCAGGGACCACACCCCTAAAGAAAACTGACTCTGTCTTAGCGGCCATCAGTGGTCAATAGCTCCTCAGCTCAGCACTCCTGTGCCCTTCCCCCACTCGCCAGAGCACAGTGTTTGGGATAGGACCAGGACATCATATGCAGACGGCTATCAGAAATTTTGAAAGGCAGACATGGGTCCTTAACTGAGCTTTCTGATGGTCCAAAATTCGTGGAAACGACTTTGAAACTTAGGGCTCTTCAGACTGAGTCTTTTGCTCTCTCAAGGTAAGGCCTGAAAGGCTGACTTTTGGTGAGGAGAGGAGGAGGATTTTATTTGGTGTTTAAGATCCCACATAGCTCAGATCTGAAGTTTTCCGGGATGATGTGAATGTGTGGACTCAAATTTCATTTCATTTCATTTGATTTTTTGAGGCATTGTCTCGTTTATGCTGCCCAGGCTGCTCTTGAGTTTCTAAGCTCAAATGATCCTCCTGCCTCAGCCTTCTGAGTATCTGAGACTGTTGATGCATCACTACACCTATCTTTAGACTCCACTTTTTATCCCAGGAAGCCAAAGGGATGCTAGCTGCTTGGGATGGTGAATCTTTATTGTCCACTTGACTAGAATCAGAATTGTCTGGA